TCAAAAATATTAAGGACACAACGCCCAAGCAAAAGGTAATGCAAGGGAAAAAAAAAGGGGGGGGGGGTCCTAACGGAAAATTTCATGTGACCATAAAAAGACATGCATAACTGCTTTATATAGGCATATTTATTTGTATCCCCTTCATACAATTAACTCCACTTATAAACATTTGAATTATGATTTTTTAAAGTAATAGTTTACACTAGACTCGTATTTTGTAGATGCTCAGTTTGAATCTCAGCCAGGACACCGTGTAATCTGAGATTATTCGTGGTTGACATCATTCTGTCCAGATAGATTCCCAATAAGGCCACAGCATTTCCTTTCAAAGAGTTCTGAATTCATCATTTATTTGTCATCCATCCATTCGATGCTGGGCTACTGAAAGCATCAGTAAATATGTAACAAGAAGAAAATAGTTATTTGAACTGTTTACGTAAAGAATGAGACATTGTACTGGATGCTGAAGAAACTGTGTGTCTTTGAAGTAAATGTACAGATTCACATCCTTTGGCTTGTACTATACTAGAACGATCTTTATTCCAAACAGTTCTTATTTTAATTGATTGTCTTTTATTTTTCCTTGCCCTTTTTCCTGCCATTTGTCTTTCTCTCGGCTGTTTGTAGTTAAATACCAGCTATTAACTGTAGCTGCTGAATTAAAATGTCTCCAAAGACTAAGATTTCAGTAGCTAGGTTATTCTCTCCTGAACTGGAAAACATTACCGCCCCTCTCTGGATCACTGGTTTGCAATCTGCAAAGTGCTTTTTGCAAGACAAGGAGGGTTGGATTATGGAAAGGGGTATGAAAGAGAGCGAAAGCACAGAAAAGAATGGCTGGTAGGTATTTACGCTTGTCACAATAAATCAGAGCCCTTTGTGGATAAATTGGAATTAAAATGAGTTTGAAAGAGGTTAAATTGTGAAAGGGTTATTTCAAAGAATAGGAGCAGATGATGAGTTATGTGTAGGGCTGAAGAACTTAATCTCTTAAGTCATTGTTTCTGAATCCCTTTCACCCACTCACCTCTAACTAGTGCCGAAGTCAAGAAAACGTGGATCTATACAGCCACTCCCTCATATGCCTCCAAGGCATAGTGCTAAATTAGTTAAGCAGAGGGACAACTTTACCCTTTTACCGCGAGGGAGCCGAGGTATAGACTCACAATCTTGACATTTGTCATTTAATACAGATGAGTGGTCAGCTCCCGGGGAAACAGTCTCTGGTACCCGTTTGATAGGAGGTCAAGTGGCCCCGGAATTGGTTTGGATGTTCTGGAGAAGAGAGAATCTATGTCCCTGGTGGGAATTGAACCCAGATTATTCTCTTATTCAGTCTGTAACCTAGTTACTGTAGTGCCTGAGCTACCCTGCCCTTTTCCAAAATATATGCTTTTATAGGAATCCCAGAATGTTAAAATAAATTAGAAATTTTAAAATGCCTGAAATCATAGTGTTTTAAAGGGTTTAATGTAGTAATGTTAAACTAATGGAAACTGTAATACATGAATACAAGCAGTGTACACCTTACAGGCTTGGAAACTGCATGATGTCCCTTTTGATGAACCTAAGGACTGAAAACATGATTCAGTCTATAATCATAATGTGAGTTATTGCCAAGTAAGAGCTGTGTAAACAGGCAACAGTACAACAGCCATTACTAGGGAACAGCTCTGTGGTCATGTTTTCCTGGCAACGACTGTTGTACTATTGCCTGATTACACTTTTATTACTTGGTCATTGGTCTACATGTCACATGCAACTGCACAACAGCCGTTGTAGTTTATGGCTATTGAATTAAACTATTTGATAAAAATACAACACTATGACTTTTAATGTGTTGATAATTACATACTTAAGTTAACATAAGGTATATTTTGTATGTTTCAGCTACACTTGGCAGCACTTGCTTCGTTAAAGGGTGAAATCTTGGACTTGTCAAATCGTCTACATACTGTAACACAGGAACGAGATCTTCTGGAAAAGACACTCAGCAAGACACAGGTGATGAAAAATTATTACTGCTGTTATTGTCATATCTATTTTCAAACCAAAACTAATTATACCATAATTTTATTAAATGATGTTTGAGGGACTACTCATCTGGGCTTCGTATCGCAAGCATGCATCGAGAACCAGCTCTACAAGTGAACTACCTAGTAAACGCAAAAAAAAAGTGACAAATAGTGATAAACAATGCAAATCAACCAAGAACAGGAACCTCAGACCAACAGGTACGAAAGTAATGTAAACAATCCGCAACTACAATGATGCGTCCTGCAGAAATCACACCAGAATACAATAGGATCACCAATCAACAAAATCATAACCCACCCAACATATATTGGCCAACCATGAACCCACCAACATACCCTTTTTCACCAACTGTGATACCACCACAAATCCAAGCGACATAGTGACAACTGTCCCCCAGCTACTACATAACATCAGTACAAGAAGTGCAACCACACAACATGAATTACATAAAGAACGAAGACAGAGGTCAACACATACAAAAAATGACCTCATCCAGCGAAGAAGAGGAAGAAGAAACACAGAAAAATAACAATAACAAATGACAAACTATGCGAAGCACAAAGAGGAAAAAAAACCTCCAATCAACAAAAAATCACCACAAACAACATAGAAACCAACAACCGATACGACCCACTATCTCAACAACCAGGAACCTCAAGCAATGAAATCACCATAAGTCCAAAAATACCTAACCCGCCGCCAATATTCGTTCATGGGCTACAAAATTACTCCAAAATGATGAAACAAATCGAAAAAAAAAATAGCCGAACAAGAGCAATACTTCACCAAAAGTCCAGCAAACAACATTGTCAAAATAAATTGCGAAACATCAGAAACCTACAAAAAATGATCACAAAATTCAATGAACAAAAAATATACCATCACACTTACCAATTGAAAGGACGAGCATACAGAATAGTAATAAGATACCTTCATCACTCAACAAAAATAGAAGACATAAAACAAGAACTAGCTGAACTAGGGCACAGAGACAAAAATATAATCAAGGTACATCATAAAGCTATTAAAGAGCCATTGAACCTATTCTTTGTAGACCTAGAACCAGCCCAAAACAACAAAAAGATCTATGAAATAACAGGACTACAAAATAGAATAGTAAAAATAGAACTTCCCCATTCAAACAAAACAAACATAATCCAATGTAGGAGATGTCAACAGTACCACACAAAAACATACTGTAATAAGCCGTACATATGCGTCAAATGCCGCTGCCCACACAACACGACAGACTGCAAGAAGACAAGGGAAACACCAGCCAGATGCGCACTATGCGGAGGAAATCACCCCGCAAACTACAGAGGATATGAACACTTTCGTAAGCTAACCAAATGTACCAGCAGAAGCTTTTCCCAAAGACCCTCTACTCCAGCAATCTACACAAATGAATCCTACACCAGAAATATACAACCTCTAGAAATATCCCAACCCAGAAGCTACGCAGAAATCACAAAGTGAAATTTAACCCAAACAGAAGAAACAACCAACATGCTAGCAAAATTCCTAGACGAATTCAAAAATTTAATTCAACAATTATTGCAACAAAATACTATGGTACTAAACATGCTAACAACACTCGTCAACAAAGCGAAATAAATGGCCAAATTCCTAAGAATAGCCCAGTGGAACCCTAATGGACTTACAAATCATCAAGAAGGTATAAAAATATTTCTAAACATAAACTCAATCGACATCCTGCTAATCAGCGAAACCCACTTCACCAGTAGAAGCTACTTCAATATCCCAAAATACAAGCTTTACCACACAGACCACCCTGACGACACAGCCCACGGAGGCACTGCAATCCTAATCAAAGAAAGATCGAACATTATGAACTACCAAAATATGAGAAACATTTACGTAACAGAAGTCATCCGAGAAAACAGCACCAAGTACTTCAGCAAACTAGAAAATCAGGCTAACCCACTTCTTCAACCACTACTTCAACCTCATGAAAATCGAAGACTCAAAAGAAGTTGGCCATCAGATCTAACGAACTGGGGACAACATCACTGGATGTTTATCCCACACACACCATGAAGAGTGTACAATAAATAGTTATTCAATTGTGCACCAATCAGCACATTGACTTATAGATTGTACAATCTGATTGTCAATAAAGAAGAGAATAAAAAAAATGATGTTTGAGGTTTTCAGAACTCTGAAAGTTTAGATTGTGTTCTTATGGGTTGTGACACCCTGTGGTCTTGTTATATTCAATTTTTGAATTACTGAACTGTTGGAAAGTCCATCAGACCCATGGAACCATATCCATTAATTGTCCAAGCATGTACAACACTCATGTTAATCATTTGTGCAAATTAGGGGTTACTGACTTCTGGAATATAATGACATGTAGTCTTGTAGAATGTCCATCTTCGGGGTAGAAAGGTCAGTGCTGTATATACCACTAAGTGATGAATATTTTTATGTTAACAGCTGGAGAAACTCCATTTGCTAGCAGAGACAGAGGAGCGGGCTGAATTACAAGCTCAGCATTATGAAGAGAGGCTCACTGAACTGCATTCTGTCATAGCTGAGCTGAGTCGGAAAATTGACCGACAGCGAGCACTTGTCATACGTGAAGAAGATGACATATCTGGTAACTAATTGTTTTCTCTTGAGCAGTGATTCATAATTAACATTTATTCCTCTTCGTTGCTTATGAATTTGTACTTACATAACGAGTATCAAAAACAAGTGATCTCATGAATTATGCAGGTCACTTAATATTATTAGGATAGTGGATTTCAGGAGATTATGATAGGCTAGATATCTGGCTAAAATGGTGGAGACAATAAATACATATAGAATTTTATTTTGGTATGGAAACTTAGAAAATGTCCTTAGAAGGAAGTGGGATCTTCATGAAGGTGATTGGTTAGCTTTTTGCTCAAACTGCTTTATTCCCATCGAGTAGCCCCCAGTATCCATTGAATAGGAGAGAGAGTGGATCCCAGAGACAGTCTGGACCCTGTGGAGGAGACAAAAATCCCTGCCCCTCTAGTTTCTGTTATCCCACCTGTAGCCTAGTAGCCTTTCTGGCCGAGCTACTTTCTACTTGGGTGAAGTGGCTGGGGCATGATACAATGCTAACCACTCATTTCCATCTATTGTACAAGGTTAAGGAAGCCTGCAGCTGTACCTCTGCAAGAAGGGTATGGACCAAAGTGGGCTGTATGACAGTTCTATATTGCTCATGAGTCCACTATCTGTCAACATTTATTAAACTGAAAAGATGTTATGGACAAAACTTATTGATCTTAATGAGATAAATGATTTGTGGTGCATGTATATTTTCGTATACTGACCCACATGGACATACGTGCTAACTTTCTCTGTGTTTTACTCTTTGTAAATACAGCTAAGGATAACCAGATTTAAAATTTGGCTTTGTCCTTGTATCAGTAACTTTGAAGGAGTAATGTTGAGAGCTTGTTGAGTTGGTATCTTGCATATCATTTTGGTGATACAGAAAATGAAGATCCAGAAGTCAGTCGCTGTGAGGCTGAAGGCTCAACAGCGAATTTGGCCGATGATTCTGAACTTCAGGATGGTGACCGAACGCTTGGTGATGCAGACTCAAGTAGTGGTGACTGCTGTGAGAATCAGCATCAGCAAGGAGAGGGGGTGATATTTCTTTTCTCATATATGCATATCTGTTGTTAGCTACTGAATAACTTATCATATCGTGTATCTTTACCAGAATGATGTTGAATAATGGGAAGTGTTAGTATTCAGTTATGTAGATTTCCACACTTACTTTGTCAGTCAAAGCTATAAAATTGGACCTATGGTTCAAATTGTTATGGATACAAAGTGTACATGATGTATGAGTCAGACCATGAACTCCATCTTCCTGGATTATTTATTTAATTATTTACAGTTTATTTAGCAGTGCTGTCTGTAATCTGGGTTATAGTGTACTGAATTGTAAGATGATTTGGACCGAAGAGAGATGAAGTTGGAGAAAACTGCATAATGGGAAGCTTCATAACTTGTATCTTCACCAGGTATAATTAGAATGATCAAAGAAAGGAGGGTGAGATGGGCAGGGAATGTAGGATGAATAGGGGTGAAGAGGAATGTATATAGGATGTTGGTGGAAAAGCCAGAAGGAAAGAGACCACTAGGAAGACCAGTATTAAAATGGATCTTAGAGAGATATGAAGGGGTGGTATGATCTGACTTATGATACGGAATAGTGAAGGGCTCTTGTGAACATGGTAATGAACCTTCAGCTTACATAAAATGCTGGGTAGTTCTTGAATAGCTGCACAACAGGCAGATTCTCAAGAAGGGCTCATATCCATGAAGTTAGTTAGTTAGTTAGTTAGTTAGTCAGTTAGTCAGTCAGTCAGTTAGTTAGTCATCCCAAAAGATGTGAAATAAAATTATTATCTAATTTGAGATACTGTCTTGGCATTTGCTTGGAGGGACTGAGAAAAGGTGTAGAAGACCCAGTCCAGGCCAATGGGAATGGTGAACAGGATGTGTAAAATATGTGTTCTGAGTTGGACAGAGCCAGGTTCCATCTCCCCTCCCCCTTCTGTGGATCTGAGTCACTATCTTCCATCCAGCCTGTGTCTATAACTTACCACATCTTTGCCCCACTCCCTTCCACATCTTTTCCAATTAATTACAGCGAAACCCCCCTTTTAAGTTTTTTCAGGGGGGGGGGGACCAGTGGATTTGAACACTAAACTTGCGGGGATCTTATCTGGGCAGAATTTAACACCGAGATTATGGATGTTGGATCGTTGAAATTGAACCTTAAATGAGGTAAAACCACCTTAAGCTGAGGAACATTAAGTGGAAATTCCACTTTAATTCAGTCACTTTACCTTTCAACATAAAATAAGTCTGTTTTACTGACAGCATCATTAAATAAATGATAAGTAAAGAGAAAACTGAAAGGTGAACTAAAAATAAGTCAGTATAGAGTGATTAATTTTTTATTTAAAATGCACTTTCATTCATATTTTAAACTATGTGTATTTATGTATGTCTCTCTTAGGCTGAGAGCCCCACAGATGAACCTCTGCCCACTGCCAATGGACCTCAACCTCACAAGAAGGAGACTGCAACTTCTTGTCATAGTCTACAGATGGCAGCACTTGCTGAGGAACTGGCACAAGTGCGAGCAGAGAATGCAGCATTACAAGAGCAGTTGGTCCGGCAAGAAGAAGACCTCAGTCGAGCCCGTGGGATTCTTGGAGGTCTGAGGGGGGATCGAGACCGATTGCGAAAAAAGGTACACCAGTAGTTAGCATAAGCTGACTGAATAATAGTCATGAAATCAACCTGGAAACTTAGACAGTGTTACATAAGACTTAACTTCATTATGTAATAACTGGCTAAGTGGCAGGTCAGAGATGAAGCCCCTGACTTAAAGACTGTGGATGTGATATTGTGCTGCCTGGTCATGGCTGTCACATGTCAAGTTACAGTGATAGATTGATAGATGAGTATGGAGCAATGGTAGAATGGTGATTATCATGAGAGAACTGAAGAAAATTGTGTTTCTGTGAAATGTCAGTGCTGTATGAACAACATGGCCATGTAACAAAGTAGACTATACTCTTCAGATAAGAGTACCGTTTTTCTTTGTTTAGATTCGTGAGGTGGAAGGCAAGCTTCAACAGGATACCCCACACTGTGCCACCTCAGCCCCTGCACCCTGCCCTGTTGGCACCCCTGCTTCTAACATGGCAGTGGTCCCTCAGGATGACATGCCAGTTTGTAAGGTTGCAGAACGAGTTGTCCTGCGTAAGATGGATAACAATCGACAAATCACTGGCTCTCAACTTGCAACGTATGGAGTAAGTACACTGTGGTCATGAATGGAGTAAAAGGCTAAATCTGTTCCTGTAACAGGCTGTGGAGGACCATAGGGTTGTGAGATGTCAGCCTTACCTGCCAGCTGCCATTTATCCCCGGGAAGATTCCTGGTACTCATTTCTGTTAGATGCTGAGTTGACCCCAGGGCGTAGTGCAGGTGGAAGGATTACGTCAATTGAAAAATCCAGTGACCTCACTGGTGATCAGCCCTGTGACTGTCTGGCTTGTAAAATAGTGCCTCAACTAACTACAGTACTGCATGCCCTTCCTGAATGGAGTATACCAATATATTTTGTTTACAGTGGAATGCCCAGTGAAAATTTGACAGAGAAGATTTGACCCTTCTTATCTGTAACATTCATTTCTGCAGACAGCCATTCTGTTGAAACACTCTCGAACTTGAGGGAAACTCTGAAATCATGATCTCACTGAATATGCATGTTATAAACTTGGAAAAGTTCTTGAAAGACAGCTTCATAGGATAAGCATATAATAATAGTCTAGTTATATTATATCTTTCTTCAGAAAAGGTTGTCAACACTAATATCAACAGAAACAATGTCATTCATTGCTGCCACCTTCTAGTCCAATTTTAAGTAACAGAGGTTAGTTTTGGTTTTAGTTTCCAAGGAAGTGACATAAGAACAAACAGAGGTTAGTTTTAGTTTTAGTTTCCAAGGAAGTGACATAAGAACAAACAAAAAAATATGATACACAACATCGAGGAGATTGGCTCATGCAGTAATAGTTCAGACTTTTATACAGGATATGTCCATACTGAATTTGGCTGAGGCACCAACAGTCCTGATTGAGTGATATGTTGGGTTTTTTGGACTTTATCCATCGTCCTGGTTTTTAAGATAACAAATAAAAACACGACGTCCAGTGATGGACCCAACTGAATAGGTGTTCTCCTTCACCTGAGGACGGAAACAGATCCAGTTTCCGAAACGTCGTGTTTTTATTTGTTATCTTAAAAACCAGGATGATAGATAAAGTCCAAAAACCCAACATATCAGTGTGTTATACACCATCGTCAGGATCCTATAGTAAGTCCTGATTGAGATTTGTCATGGTTTTCTTCTGTCCCTTGAGGCAAGTGCCAGGATAATACCTTAAATTAGTCCATTAGACTTTCTTCCTCATCATCTCAAATTCATAATTAACTATCATCCAGTCATTCAATGCTACATAATCAAGAGCTGCTGACATCATTATTAAATAAACTGTAAAGAAATGGAAGGAAAATACTGTACCATAAACACTGCCGTCCTTATACCAACTCTGTATACATGCTAAATAATTTGGTCATTGTGAAAGGCATCACACTGAAGGCACATTTTGAGGTTTTCAGACATCTGTACAAGTAAATACAAAGGATATCCGGAAAGTAAAAATACAAAGTACAGAAAATATTTGTAAAGCATTTTTTTTGGATTCACATGTAGCACTTTTAAAACACACCTTTATTTACTTTTCAACATAATCACCATGGATCGCAATGTACTTAGTGAGCTTGGGAACGAGTTTTTTTATTTCAGCGTCGTAGAAAACTGCCTGCTTTCTTAGCCATGGAGAACAGTTCTTGACACTTCCGGAACGTCTGTCAGCATGAATGTTTTCATAAATTTTTTAGATGATTTCATCAGTGACAACAGATGGCCTTCCACTCCTTATTTCATCATGAACATCGCTTCTTCCCACTTCAAATTCACAACACCATTTTGCCACATTTTGCCTGTTCATAACATCTTCGCTGTAAACAGGAACAAGTTGGCGATGAATTTCAGCAGCAGTTTCTCTTTTTGCATGAAGAAATCAAATTACTGCACAAGCCTCACATTTGACAGGATTTTGAATCGACGCGGTCATTTTAAACTCTCACTGTGAGCACAACGTTGCTGTGACTGGCCGGTGAACTCTGACCTTTCATATGGTTTCTATCTCACATGGCAGCACTGCCATTTCCGAAAAAAAAGTCCCTTGCATTTTTACTGGAGTTGTATCTTTGCATTCTGTATATCCCTTATAGTTCATATGTTATGCTGAAATATGTAATGTTTTCTCAAGTCTTCAGAAATTCGTTAATATTGAGCCATGAAGACAAGTCTCTACAGCTAGATCTCTGGTGGTGTGAGACTTGGAGAATGCAACGGATAGTAGGATTTCGTGTATCTGGAAGTGAAATGTTTATGGCGAGCTTGCTGCAGCATATCTAGGATTGACCTGTTATGCGGCCTTTCTGAGACTGTTGCAGTTTGACAGATACTGACAACTGCACTGTACACTTCTCTCACAGTTGTTATCTGAACTTAATCTCTTATGAAGGTAATGTGTTGCTGTGTATTGTGTTATAAAGTTACATTGTTTTGGAAGGATCTGTTACCTTCATCTTTGGTAAAGAAGAGTGGGTCACACAGGGAGACAGCGATACAGATGTAAGTGAGAAATGGAACGTGTTGCTTACCAAAAAACATTTCCTCTCACCTTATTTCCCTTTAGATTGTTTACCCTGCCCTCTTAGGGTACGCTGTCTCTAATTTGTTCAATAGCAGCCCTGTTTCCTTAGTTCCCTATAATGGAACTCCTAATTGTTTGGTTTGCCTTACTCGTCTGTTCTGAAAGTGGAGGTAGTGATTTCCTCTGAAACAACGGTAACTTTGGGCCAGATTACATGGCATCACATGCCAGAAGACAGTAATTTTTATACTTACTGTCATGTAAATCTCAAATCTCAGACTCACATGATTCCCCAGTCATACTGAAGTTTTGACCCCCTTTGTGATCTATTTTTGCATGAACAGGACAATTTTCCACGATTTGTGCCGTTCACCTCTCGTATGGCCACATAACTGATTGCACTCTGTGTGAACAGGTATGCAACACTGTCCTAGCCGAGAGTTTGGTTAGTGAACTCCAAGAGGCAGATCTGCAGGAGCTCAGCCGCAGCGAGGCAGTACGAAGACAGTACGAGATAGAGACTGAGAGGCTTACAAGCAGGCTGGAGCACGCACGTGCGCAGAATGCAGTCCTAGCACTCACACTAGATGAAAGCAAGACACAGTGTGACAGGTTGAGTCTGCTAGTGGGGAAATATGAATCCAATGCTACAGCACTGAGGTAAGTTGTGACCTGTTTGACTGCCCCTGCCAAGATAGAGTATGTGTCTGCAGTTGTTGTGTGCTGTACTTTGGAGATGGCATTAAAGTGCATGTGCACTGTGATCGAATTAGCGCAGCAATTCTCATAATACTTGATGCCTTTGGTAATCTCCTGGAAGAATTAATTAAAGGAAAAGTTGTCCCTGCATTTAGAAACACCATACGATGAACATGTGTGCAGGAGGGAAGGTATGGATCCATACATTCTTCACCTTTGCACTGGGTGTAGCTGAGAGGTCATCTCCAACCTCAAGCTGCTTAACCCTAAGGGAAGAAGCGCCCTGTACCCATGGGATAGAAGCCTGGATGGGACTCAGCACTGGTCTGGACATGGTAGTGAAGAAGAAATCTACACCACTACTAAGAGTTTAACTCTGATTTCCTTGATTTTGAACCTGTAGCCTAAACACTGTATTGTCTGAACTGTCCCAGCTATGCAGCAGTCTCCTGATGCTATGAAACGGTTACATTTAACACATAGTTATGACAGGTGGTACCGCCAATCAGTTCATCATGGCGACAAGCCCTTGAAACTAATGACCAGTAATTTTATTTTCCAACTGAACACTTGTGGTTATAGTTCTTATGTAACATCCTCTCTGATGAGAGGATGGGTCAGTCATTTACAATTGCTGCTGTTCATCGCCAACGCAGTCATTCTCAAGTCTGAGTCCCACAGGACTCATTACCACATCTTACTGTCTCAGATTCAAGACCCCCAACCTGGAGGGTCAGGTCTCTGTATTTATATCCCCCAAGAACAGGGTGGCCCGGTTATACCACCAGGAACTGGATTCCCTTTTTATTGCCTCCTACAACTCGCGGGCTATGGTGGAAATATTTGACTCTGCATCCACATGAGATTCATTTTAATGCATAATTGAGAATACACCTATTTATATGCCTCAAACTGTTGCATATGAAATGCTTACACATTGTAAAATGGTGTTGAACACTTCATTGGAAATCATATTGTCCTTATTTTTGCCACAGGTTGGCACTGACATACAGTGATAGAGCAATAGAGGCATATGATGTCCTGGTGGCATTACTGGAGAGCGAGCTGGGTCTGTTGCTTGCCAATTGCCGGGCAGCAGGCATTGGCAACCAGATTAACATGAGAGGTGAGTTGATGCTAGCTAAAGATTTTAATTGAGACATGCTTATATATTGAGTTTTAAATGATATATTGGGTTTTTGGACTTTATCCATAGTCCTGGTTTTTAAGACAACAAATAAAAACACGACGTTTCGGAAACTGGATCTGTTTCCATCCTCAGGTGAAGGAAAACACCTATTCTGTTGGGTCCGTTAGAAAGACTGGTCCACTGGTCCAGTGATTGAGGCTAGATCCAGTTTCCGAAACGTTGTGTTTTTATTTGTTGTCTTAAAAACCAGGACGATGGATAAATTCCAAAAACCCAATATATCAGTGTGTTATACACCATCGTCAGAATCCTATAGTAACTACTTGAGTTTTAAATGTTTAAAATTTTTAAAATTGGTGATTCTAGTGTAAAACAGGTGTTTCAGAATCTCTTTAAGACTTTTAAACTACAGTTTTTTGGTAATCTTTCATATTATTATTCTAGGAGTTGTGAATTTAGAACTCGGAACCTAGGATACCACCAAAGTCAGGCATCTTCATGCCTTAGAAATTTATGCACATCTAATGTGGATTAGTTGCACAGTGAGATTTCTATTTAGAGTCTAGCTGTGCTCTGGCCACTAAATCCATGAGAAGCATCTCCTAAATCCTGTCACTAGGAGGCTGGAAAGTGGGTAGACTCCAAATCCAGACTGGAGATGGTTACTGTATACTTTCTGAACTGTCCTTACGGTAGATTCTGAAGAATTCTGACAGTGATGCATAACACTTAGAATTACTGGGTTTCTGGACTTTTTCCATCATCCAATAATTGAGGTTAGCTGTTTCTAAGGGATCCAACAGAGTAGGTATCTTCCACCCTCACCTGAGGTCAGAAACAGATCCATTTTCCAAAACGTATTTTCTAATTTCTAGAACACTGGAGGATGGAAAATGTCCAAAAACCCAGCAATTCTGAGTTTCCTTATAGTGTAATACTAATACACCAAAACAAGAAATTATGGGAAGAACTGATTGCCTACTTTCTTTTGATATGACATGGACTTCATAGAAAACTAAAAAATTAGGGGGGAGGACAAAGGCAGTAAGGTGATCTCATAAGCCAGAAAAATGAGGATTGGTTAGACAGATTGACCAACAGAGGTGGATACACAGACAGACAGTAAGGTGATCTCATAAACCTCTTTTATATTTTCAAAATAAGTAGAATAGGCTAATAACAATAACGAATTAAAGTGTATTTTCTTTTATTATTGCTAGTGGGGTGGGACTAAGTCCCTTGTACTGCGGCCACTTCTGGCCTATTGTACCAGCCCCAGATGTTAGGTGAGGGTGATTGTGGAGCAATTGGTGGAATGAAGATTGACAGGGGAACCGAAGTACTCGGAGTAAACCTGCCCCAACGCCACTTTGTCCACCACAAATCCCACTTGACCAGACCTGGGATCGAACCTGGGCCACCACGATGGGAAGCCAGCTACTAACTGCTTGAGCTATGGTGCGGCCCAATTAAAGTGTAAGTCCAGTTTAATTTATTTGATGTGTAAGATCTGAGGTTCACATGATGTTGAATGTAAAGCTTACAGCCTTCCTGGGATGTGACACCATGTGGTCTGGTAGAAAGTAGAAAGATGTGAAAGTTTTAGAGGAACTTGCAAGATGGAGCAGTAGTTGCTCTGAGATTTTTGTAATCTTCTGTGAAACTACATGGCATCCCATCCCAAAATATGGTACTCTTCAAATTTATTTCACATTTTTATAATGCGGGAGTGGATTCCAAATTTGGGAGAGGTAGAAAAAGTCAGTTGATTTCCTGTACTCTTCCATTTCATTTGCTGCTTTAAAGGCATCTTTGGGTCACTACCATAGTCTGTCTGCACTAGCCAGTGTTGGCTGCCAAGTGTTTGTCCAGTACACAAAACTGGAAGGTCTGTTATAAGTTTTGAGATTCTCCCAGTGGAGGCTTTCCAGCTTATGGTCTTCTGAAATGTTGCACTGTTGGTGGACACTGGCCTTGCCAAGGAACATGCTACATTCATCTTCAGGGTTGAAGTGTGTAGTGTAAAGAATCAGGTGAGTTATATGACCACATTCCTTATAACCTGCCTGTATAATTAAACCAGTTCCTTACCTGATACCTCAACCTTGAAGATGGAAGCAGCATATTTCTGTGAAAAATTATTTTCCACTAACAAGGCTACTCAGTGTCACACCCCAGAATACCACAATCTGGAAGATATCAATTTCTCAGTGTTTTTTACCCAGATGTGTACACTCTTCAGCAGATTTTAAGATGGTGATGTTTCTGGAACTGTTACATCAGCTGCAATGCTTAATTACTTGCTGTCAGCAGACAATGACAGTGGAACAGACGGAGACAATGACTGTGCTGGAGAGGTGGCTGCTCTACTGAGACGTGCTGGTGAAAACCGCCAGGCAGCAGAGACAGTAGCAAGACATCTGCTATCAAGACTTGACAATGCCAGCACCACTGGCGGCATGGGTCCATGGGATGACTACAGCCATACTACCAGGTATCACTGACATCAGGTGGATGAAATATTTTTTTACCTTACTGTTGCCCAAGAGCCTTCAGTTGCTATCTTTACAATAGCTATACTTGAAAATAAGTGTATAAGCATGTGTGCTGGCAAGGAGAGAGAATAAAGGGGGCCGAGCCATGCATCAGACCCCCTTTCCTTTATATCTGAAAAAGAAATCAAAATTGATGAGAGAAGAGAATATATCAAATTAATGCCAAAAATTAAAAGTTTTAAAAATAATCATTTGTCTGTCCTGAATACTATAGAATTGTAAAAATAGTCTTAAATAATTTATATAAGTTTGTGAGCAAATTTTCTGGACTCTCCCACCAGGAAGAACCCTGATGGCATCTGTATAGAGAAGTGACAGAACTAAATATGCTTGGAAAAAATGTAATGACACCAAAAAGAAGTATTAATGTGTATAATGTTGTATTTTAGCGTCCTGTTGCACTGATTTTCGTCCATGATATGTATACAGTGGCCGTCTTGTAGTGCACTCAATTTCACCTGTTACTTCACGACATGTTTCGGCAACATAGTGCCATCATCAGGTGCCCTAATTACGTTAATCTATTGCATTGTTTGCCCTCATATGTCTTCACAACACCATTTAAAAAGTATTTAAAAAGTGCGTATTTGTCAACGATAATAAATTTACACTCACTAAAGCTTGTTACGCTTATTCATCTTATGTGTCTTAATTAAAACTTGCGTGTGGTTCATTCACTGTGGGGTCGTTTTTCTTATTTTCTGTGTAAACCGTGTCTTGTGATGTGTGTTCCTTTCTTAGCTGCAAGTGTTGTAATGTTTTAATTAAGACACATAAGATGAATAAGCGTAACAAGCTTTAGTGAGTGTAAATTTATTATCGTTGACAAATACGCACTTTTTAAATACTTTTTAAATGGTGTTGTGAAGACATATGAGGGCAAGCAGTGCAATAGATTAGGGCACCTGATGATGGCACTATGTTGCCGAAACATGTCGTGAAGTAACAGGTGAAATTGAGTGCACTACAAGACGGCCACTGTATACATATCATGGATTAGTGTGTATGATCAAACTTGTGTTGCGGAGCTTCTTACACAATCTGTACAGCCTGGGTATTTAGAAGTGACAGTCCAGGAAAAGCTGCGCAGTGGATGAGCAGGTCCATTCGTGAAAGTTGAGGGTTGTTGTGATTAGCCATTCATTTGTTTTCAGTGCGAGCAGACGTCTCAAGTTCAGTCAAAAGCATTCTTCCTTGTACAGTCAAGTTAAAAAGTTTTGACTCTTGGAGTCATATTTGAGTGTATTATTCTCTCTTTACTGTATTAATATTTTATTTTATTGTTTATTTTTATTTGTTGAGTTTCTTTTTTGCTTATTTATATTTGTACATTTTTTCTATTTCCTTTAACATTCCACCTACATGAAGTAAATTGAGTGGAAAAATGTTGCATTCACAATCAAGAGAAATTGTTAGTAATGTATATAAATATATGAAAGAGGCTGGGCCAACAATTACAGTGAAGAACATGGGAGTGGAAGTAGCAAAGGCAACAGGTGTATTGGAAAGTAGAATAAGAATAATAATAATAAGAGAAACAAAAAATATCGAATCTGGGGCTTCCACTGGTGGTGACAAGGAAGGACAGGCATGTGGAGATGATATCTATGCAGACATTGCTGGTGTTGCCCCTTTAGAATAGACCTGTGTAATATGTAAATAAACTCTTCATGTATATAACAGTGAAAAGTGTATAATAGTATATAATAGTCTGCCATTTGGCACTTAAAACTTAACATCGGATGTGTGAACATCATTGAGACTAAACCGCCAACACTATGCAACACAATGAGGTAAGATATTATTTCCTTTTGAGAATGCCTGTACTGCATTCCCCTCCACACTTGTCAGCATGCTGGATCTCTCCCTGCCACTACCAATACTTCTCCTACTCCGTGTCGGAGGACTGTCACTTCTAAATACCCGGGCTATAAATGAGACTGCAACTATGTTGAGGTCACAGAAAGTAGTCTCAAGGATGGTTAGGATGATAGTGCTCAAGACTTTCCCCTTTCTGTCTACTGTTATATTCCCTTCCAGTCTTCTCTGGCTTAAGTAAACGGGTGGTGTTTGTTGCTAGAGAAGATTATCACTACCAATATTCCTGTGAACAGGCAGTCACATGTAGTGTAACAAAGTGAATGATATGGTACTGACGTGGAAGCACGACTCAAAGGTTTAAACCAGTTATACTTTATTTATGGTAAAACTTTCTTAATGTGTCATATATGCTCAAAGCAAGAACTGTGGAGCCAGAGAAACAGCTGTTGCCGGCAAGTGGCTTTAGAACAACGTTCATTTCTTGGCAACGGCTCAGTAAACATGTACCTGCAGCAACAGATACTCATGCAACAATAGAGGTACTGTTGGAAATGGTCTTTTCTGCTCGGTCCATGCAAGGGGGTTATAAGGAAGGCAACTGGGGCAACCTCATCAGGTCTGTATGGGAGGCTGTGAAGAAAAGGGACAGTTTGTAGAGAGTTGGAAGGGAGCCACCATTCAGAGGGAACCTGAGTGCAGAAGCTGAAGAATCTCCACAGTTAGAAGCCATTACCAGGGAACAGCTGGTGAAGACACAGCAGGCCGGAAAAGGCTTAGCTGGTGCTCTGGTGATTTATAAAATGTGGAGATTAGCGGTGGCGCTGTAATTACTTGTAGTTCCAAGTCATGTTGTAAAGTGGTCAGTAAATCAAATATTTAATCCAAAACCCCATCGATAGTCACACATATGCATGACAGTATTATTAAGACAGGAACACAAATTTTTATAGTTTTTATTTTGAAGTTCTTGTTACAGAGTTTCATGGTATAAATGTTATACTGTAATTATTATATTAAAATTTAAATTGACTTAAACTTTTAGAGCACTGTGAGTACTGTATATACACCATGTACTTTAATATTAAGATACTTTCTGTTCTTCCCACATATAGCATTGGTGGGTTTTATATGATTCTTAGAATAAATAGTGATTATTACCATAAGCAGCATTAACCAGTTTGGCTTTGTTAAGGAAGTGCAATGCATTCTGTGTGAGAAAGGAAGTGAATTTATGGAACCAAGTGACTACCATGACACCCCCATAAACAAAGCCTTACATTTCATTTGAAGTTAATTAGTTGAAGTTGGTTAGTTAGTTAGTTAGTTATTGGAGAGGGTGGGTTTCCCCATGCACTTAGACCTGTATTGGTCCATTGTGCTTCCCTCTATGATTTCTACCAGTCTCTATATCCTACCGGTATTGGTGCTTACCATCAGTCCCGCCCAGTCAGCGAGACCGGCTCTACTAGCTGAGAGGTATCTATAATGCTTCCCCCATCTACCGGAGGTATTAGAGACTGCTATTGGGCAGGAAACATCCGTAATTTGGCTCAGTGACCTCCTTTGGAGATATGAGGTTCTTTTACGTGCCGTAAAGCTACGACACGGGACCCACGGCTTAAAGTCCCTCCCAGAGGACTTGTTCCCTGAATTTTTCCGCCCTTAAAAATTCGATGACCTCCGCCGGGTATTTGAACCCGCGTACTACGAGTCATGAGGTGGGAATGTTACCTCTAGACTACAGAGGCTGCTTAAGTGTATGGTTAATAAAGGGTTAATCGAAAGGGGAAGCACAATAAATCGTTGAAGGTTGTGGTGCAAGGGGCCGGATTATTATGGCCCCCCCACCCTCATACATGTATTTGTCCATTCATTCATTCAAATGAATTTGTAAATATGACAATTTGAGGCATTGGATGGTTAAATGTCTGTTTAGAATTAATCTGAGAGAAGTTTGTTTCATTATTGTTGTTATAGTACAAGTTCATCCAGTGACTGCTGTAGTGAGTGGGGACAAGGGGAGGAACGTAGGTTACGAGATCATATTGGCAAGCTAAAGACAGACCGCAGCTCTGTAAGAGCAACAGTTGTAGAACTGGAGAGCTGTCATGCAGAGCCTCTGTCAACCAGGCAACCAATGTCATTGGCTGAAGCCCGTAAATTGGATCTGGAAACTGCAGTTCTCATGCAGGTAATGTTGATTAATTATTTCTTGCTTTAAGCAAAATGAGAAATGGTAATTGCACATAGAGAGATACTTGGGTGAAAATCTGACTTAAAGTTACAATGCTGTCATCTGGAAGAACTGAGGAAACTCACTGAAGGATACGGTAGGAACATCTGGGTTCATGCTTATGCTTGAAACCAAATTATGAATACAGTGCAAGAACTCCTGATGATAATAAGCAACCAGCACAAATCAAAGCTTTCTTGTTGTGTAATATCCTAAATTGTTCACATGCTACATACTTCTTGGATCCAGATTTAATGCCTTTATTTGCCACAAAAGCTGAATTTTTTTTTATAATCTGTTATACACTGTGTATTCAGGAGCTGATGGCTATGAGAGAAGACAAGGCTGAGTTGCGAGCTCGGGTGTACTTGCTGGAGAAAGAACGGTCAGCACTGGAACTAAAACTTAGTTCACAGGAGGCTCACCAGGCAGCACAGGAAGCCACAGTGCAGCATCTGCAGGTACAGCTTCAGGACGTAGAGAGACGGTTACAAGCCCAACACCAACAGGTCAGCATGCTACTTCAGTTCTTTGTTTCATCTGGTTATATGCAGTTAAATCATATTTCACGAAAATCCAAATGATGGATCTCATTGACACTGATGTAAGATGATTTTAAATGAGTACCTTTTTCTGTAAGTAGAATGTAAGTACCATAAATCTTTGTTAATCCAGTTACAGTAAATTTGGATATCAGATAATCCAGATCAGAACATGAAGTATGAAAAAATTATGTTGACAATTGAGTACATACTTTAAAAGACATGGGGCTTAGGAGGAAGAGGACTTTCAGACTGTGTTGAGGGCAGCTGGAGAGACTGAAACCATGCAAGAAAATATCCACAATTTGCTTTAGCTGGATGAAAGAGACCCTGGATTTCAGCTCCTGACAGGGAGAAATTGATGCAGTTTTTTTTTTTCCCCAGCATCATTACCTATATTATTAAATTTTCCATTTATTTGTTTTCTAAGTGTTTTGTTCATCATTTAAGGCTATCTTTTGCTTCATTAATCTGAATTATTGGTTAATCCAGGTCCCCCCCTGTTAATCTGGTTTATCAAAGGTTTACTGTAATGCAAACCTGCTATCCTTTGTTACTCTACATAAATTATCACTGTGTGTATTTAATTGAGCAACATGTTATGAAGACATATGAGTATGGAGGAGTGTGGAGGTGTATGTCCACATATTCTTAACCTCAGTGCTAAATGGAGGTGAGTGGTCCGCTCTCTGCCCTGTCTACTTAACTACAGGGAAAGAGACCAGGTACTCATTGGATAGAATGCTAGATGGGCACCATTGTCATTGTCATTGTCATTGTCACCAGGGTCATTCTGTATGTAACAGAGAAGAAAATATCTCTTGCCTCTGTCACTAATCAGACTCCAGTTCCTCAGGCATCTAGCCCATAGCCCATTGCTACACCAAATGAGTTATCTGCTCCATGGTGCTTTACATACTGTGACATTTATTGCATAGACTATATACAGTGCGGTCGTGTTTTATGTGAGGGTTGCATTCCTGAAGATGTTGCATGATTCAATACAAGTTTTCTCTTCGGAATAAATTCGAATTATTTCAAAGTTTCACATAAAGTGAGACCTTATTATTGTATATTGCACTATTTCAAATTTGCATAAACTGCTACCTTACTGTACTTGAATTTGAAGTCTGATTTAATATGCTTGACAGTTTTCATACTGTATGTCATATGGCAGATCTGAATGCAGATCTTGTGTAGGCTAATGCATAAGGAATGATTTTGTAACACAGTTTTTGCTGCGTAAGTTTATTTATCCACTGGTGAACAGTCATTTAATTCACTTAGTGGGGGAGGGGGGGGTGGAGTCCAACTGGGTCCAGTGGCACAGTGGCCACTGATTGGCCTATTGTACGTGCCCCAAGTGATTATGATAATGGAGAATTTGGTGGAATAAAGATTGGCAGGTGAAACTGAAGTACTCGGAGAAAACCTGCCCCAGTGCCACTTTGTCCAACACAAATTCCACTCGACCAGACCCAGGATCGAACCTGGGCTGCTGCGGTGGGAAGCCAGCGACTAACTGCTTGAGCTGTGGTGCAGCCTGTTGAACGATCTTAATGTAAATTCAGATCTTTTTTTAGTAATTATGATAACCCTTTGAATTTGATCTATTTAAGAACACAAAGCAGTAACTCCTTTTCAGGGCTTCAAATAAGGACAGACATCAGTAGATGCAGTCTGTGTTTTCTAGAGTGCTCTGTTTGAGAAAGCTGTTTCCATTGCCTTAATATGCCATAATTATCAGTGTTAACAGATATACGTAGGTCGTACCGAAAGTCATAAGCAACTTGTTTTTTGCATGCAACCTGGGAACAGCAGATGAAAGAGAGTATGGTGGTAGGTGGAACCAGCTGTTGTGTTAACCTTAAGTGTCTTGTGATGTCAATCGCTTGCATTACATGACCAGTATCACTCCTAACAAAATGGCCGACAACCATATTGTAACGTGTTTTGCGTTACTGATCCCACTTCTGACACCAGTGTAACGTGTTTGCGTTACTGAAGACGCCGTAGAGATCGTTAATTGGTTTATTGAACAATCCACAAATAACGGCTACAATTACTTATCTAACAGTTGCGGGGTTTCACACTTTATAACCCTAATCGCATTAATCTGTCGACACTGTTGCGGGGTTTCACGATTTATAACCCTATGCGCAAATCAGTTCACTCTGTCTTCAGTGGCCTACACGTTTACAGTAGGGGAGCTATGTATCACTGTATCACACGCTCCCAATTACACAATCACACACACGTCCGGATCTTCTTACCGCGACGG